TTCTGAGGGCTCAGTGGTCACCTTAGGACTTCCTGCCTCCTCCGTAAGGCCGATGTCAGACTTTGCGAATCGCGCGATTCGCAAAGTCTGACATCGGCCTAACGTTGCAACAAAGGCAGGCCAACGCCGAAGCGTTCACACGTCCATGAATGGTATGAATATCCAACCGAATGATATTCTACTGTGTTGACCAAAGAAAATGGAAGATGAAGCATTCAACCTCCATCGGGATGCGCCACGCAGTGTACTTAAGTTTAGAGGCTTTAGCTTCGGAATGCGTTTTGGTCTGATGTCCCGTGGCAGCCAACGTACGAGTCAGTTTTTTCTTCATTATCTCGGACTGTTCTGATGTAAATGTGCCTGCGCTGAGGGGTGGAGGGCTTGGTTCTTCCCACATGGTGAACAAACCAAGATTCGATCCCTGGACCGTAGGTCTGATAAGCAGCAACTATGGCCACAACACTGCTTTCGCCATGGTATTATCTTGAGTAATTGAGTGCGCCTAGAGTTTGCAAAAACTGCTCGTTGCGTTATGCCATCAGGACCTAATCAAGAACATTAGCAACAGGAATTTCAAACCGCTCACTGACCAATAATGTAGCCAGCATTCGCTGCTCCTGCTCTCGTTATATCTACAGATGGGCCCAGTGAACAGAAACCAAATGCGTCTGGAGGGGAGACCTGAAAAAGTGAATTTTCGTGCAACTGCCTTGCCCTTGGTTCTATAAAATGTCACTCAAGCTAGATCTAGTAAAGGATTTTCACTTCCCATGATTATGGCGGCGTTGAGCTTGATGGCTCCTCTACGAAAAAGCATGGGAATTTCATGCAGAAAACACGAGTTGAAATCGGCAACACCTAAAAGATCGATTTCACATTGGCTCTGAAACAGATCCTGGATACTATTCGTTAGGTAACTCACCAGCTGATAAGAGGGATCTTTTTTCATTGCTGCCCTATTTCCGCTTTTTGCTGACATTCTACGGTCATTTTGATCCCTACCCCTCGGAGGTTCTTTTTGTTTCAAGCCCTGGCCCGCAAAACGCAAAGATAACTGGACTTCACTCAACCGTGCTCGCAGGCGCTCCTCTTCTCCCATGTGCTCCAAACTACGACGGAGGTACTGATTGAGAAAAATTTGAAAGTTTACACTTTCCCTGTGGGGTTGCTCCTTGTGGTATCCTTGCGATGGTTAGCTGGGATCAGCAATTTTTAGCTCATTCTGCTCTTTGCTGCGTAGGGTGCTGGCCACTCAGCTAGTTTTGATCTCATTCTTGAGCCCTTTGCTTTTCTCACATCTATCTCCTGCTGCCGAAAAGCCGTAATAGCACTTCCTGCCATAAGGGAAACATACAAGGAGCCACATTCCCAATGTTCTGACTATAAAATCCGGTCCTAGTCGTTTGCGTTCCGGGAACCTCTCTCTAGCAGAAGTCGGTGCTACCATAACCTTACAATTATAACACGAAAGTCTGAAAGATGGACGTTCTACGGTTCAGGGCGCACTATCTCCAACAAGGGATAGCTCCAGCTATGCGCACTTCGCAAAGCTGCGATAGACTCGAACAAATAGTACTCAAAACTAATATCTACGAGGCACAAATAGTGAAAGCATACCTGTACTTCAAATAGGACCACAAAGTGCTGCACACGTAAATGAGATAAATCAGACCGATTATTCACGTACCTTCATTGACAGCCCTCCTGAGATTGCCACCAGTGAAGAGTGAATTGGAGCGAATTCGATCTGAATAAGTGAATGGGAATGACCCCAAAAGAGGAGCAATTCAGCTATTCACCTTTCAGATCTGATTCAATCCACGGCGTCTCTCCTTCAAGAAGCAAGTGCTGAAGTTTGATGCCCGTTAAGTTGTTCGCCTTCACGTGTTCACAGAAACCCTTCAGTAGAGGCGTTGGCGTGGCTGCCATGCCATGCACGAAAATGTTGTCACCTGGAAGAGGCTGCAGTCTTAGTGCTTGCGAATCGCTAAAAGTACAACCGCCCCTGAGGCCGAGCTAGTCGAAGGGAAGGGCATATTGTGGTGTTGGGAGGGGGTGATATACAGTCCGCCAAAGATCCTATGAATTTGGCGTTCCTTCCCTCAGTTCCTCTACCCCCACTCCCCGTTTTCGCGGAACCTCTATACGAAACACCAATATACGAAAGCAAACACTACCTGACTTGATATGGTCGAAGGCCTCCTTAACAGTGCAGATTTTGGGCTGCCTTCCGCGGATAGGAAACGCTATTTCGTTCTTATCCGTTAACGCCGACAAAGCGGCTCTGTAAGTCTAAAATCGTAAAATTCCATTTGGAGAGAAAACGCAATAAAATGTGGAAATCAAACCGAAATAGCCGCAAGAAGGTAATCGAATGAAGTTTAAAAAAGCTAGAACCAACTCACTTGCCCAATGAAGAGCTGGTGCTAATGGTACGGCATGGCAACCGCGGTAACATTTTTTTTCTGAATAAAGCGCATCATAAAGGTTATGTTAGAGGCGTTTTATATCCGCGTGAAAAATCCAGGGTTAATCCAGAAGAATGAATGCATTACCATAACAAATGAATTCTTGCCTTTTATTCCTTTGTGGATTGTAGTTCGGAAGCTCTTCTTTCACAAAACTTTACTGATAACGTTTCGGGCCTAAGCCCTTCTTCAGATCAACTGAAACAGCATAGCACATGTACAACACATGAAACATTGTGAATAAGAGGTGCATCCTACCAACGTCGTCCCACTGGAAAGGAGCGGGGAGGAGGACGAAATGGTTGACAGGAAAATGGTGATGGGATGCTACGCGGGCTTTTATATGTGAGGGAAGGGAATGATCTTCCTATACTCACGACAGCTATCAACCCTTCGTCCTCCTTCCCGCTCCTTTCCAGTGGGACGACTTGGTAGGATGCACCTCTTATTCACAATGTTTTCATGTGTTGTACATGTGCTATGCTGTTTTTCAGTTGATCTGAAGAAGGGCTTAGGCCCGAAACGTTATCAATAAAGTTTTGTGAAAGAAGAGCTTCCGAACTACACTCCCTCTGATTTGGAATATGAAGCTCAGGCAACCAACAATACTTCCTTCGTGGATTGTGAAATCACCACACACAACACGTAGGACACTCACTGTCCATGGTGTCTCATTTCATCTTGCGCACTAACGAGAGGAGGCTGCTGGGAGACTCACAGGTTGGTTCGTCACTGGGATCGTTCTATTTTGTTTTGTTTTGAGTTCCGGGGAACTGAACAAGATTAGGCGCTTCACCGGGTGAGCTACAGAGCTAGAACTTCGAACCAGTTTCAGGTCCTG